ATGAAAACAACCTTCGCTTGTGCATCACTGAGGTCCAGCTGATCAATACATGTGATCAATACATGTGATCAATACATGTGATTAAAACATGTGATCAATACATGTGATCAATACATGTGATTAAAACATGTGATTAATACATGTGATTAAAACATGTGATCGATACATGTGATCAATACATGTGATTAATACATGTGATTAAAACATGTGATTAATACATCTGATCAATACATGTGATCGATACATGTGATTAATACATGTGATCAATACATGTGATTAATACATGTGATCAATACATGTGATTAATACATGTGATCAATACATGTGATTAATACATGTGATTGATACATGTGATCAATACATGTGATGCGTGTGTGTGTTGGTGTGTGTGTTGCTAGGTAGCGAGCTAAGCTGCTCTCAGCTGTTTCCAAAACATGACCTCATCTGAGAGTGTAAAACCTGAAGCAGGACTTTTATTTTGAAATTAACTTCAGCAGCTGATGATGAAACAACTTTTTATTTTATTATTCTGAAATGTTTAAATATGCAAATGAGAGATGGGTGGGGTTAAGTTAGAAAACAAAGGTCCTCACAAGTGTAGAAGAATGTGTGTTTGTTGTAGACAGGGATCAGTGTGATGTCATCACTACCCTAACCCTCATGATGTCATCCCTTGTTGTAGCATGATGACGTCGCCAGTGACTCAGCTTGATGTCGTCAGTCTAAACGTTATGTTAGTGATGACTATTCACCATTGTTGCATTGTGGGAACTGTAGTCTCCAGGGTCAGATTACATGTCAGTTTGATCATGGAACTCTTCTCTGTCTCAGCCATGTCTCCGGTGCTGGCGGGCTTCCTGGGAGCTGGTGTTCTAGTGGTGGTCGTAGTGGTTCTGGTTCTTCTCTGGTCGTTCTGTCAGCGTCGTTACCTGCGTGTCACCGGGCGCTACAAGCTGCGTGGAGACCGTTACTGCGATGCTGAGGACCCACCCTACAAGTTCATCCACATGCTGAAGGGCATCAGCATTTACCCAGAATCCCTCAGCAGCAGCAAGAGGATCGTTCGCAGCGTCCGCCAGGTTGACTGCTCAGACCGTGATGCAGTGCGAGGCCCAGCTGCTGCATCCACCGCAGGGCGGGGCATGGTGCTGGTGGACGCTGAGAACAACGTCCTGGATGTGCCGGGGCAGCTCCAGATGAGTCACCTGGTTCCCCCGGCCAGACGGATGGAGCGGGCCCTGCCAGTCCGTGCCGACTACTGCTGCCTGGACAGCAGTTCAGCCAGCAGCTCAGCCAGCAGCAAGACGGCGTCCCCCTTCACCCCCGCTTCCTCTGAGCCAGAGCCGGAGCCCAGCCTCGGCTCCATCAGCCTCACCGTCGACTACAACTTCCCCAAGAAGGCCCTGGTGGTGACCATCGTTGGGGCCCGGGGCCTCCCCGCCATGGACGAGCAAGCGGGCAGCTCGGACCCATATGTGAAGATGACCATCCTGCCCGAGAAGAAGCACCGTGTCAAGACCCGCGTGCTGAGGAAGACTTTGGACCCGCTGTTCGACGAGACCTTCACCTTCTACGGCGTGGCGTACAGCTCGCTGCCCGAGCTCAACCTGCACTTTCTGGTCCTCAGTTTCGACCGGTTTGCCCGAGACGATGTCATCGGTGAAGCGGTGGTGCCGCTGAAGGGCGTGGACCCGAGCACAGGTCGAGTCCACCTGAGCCAGCAGATCAGCAAGAGGAACATGCAGGTGAGGGACGATGGATTCAGAGATTCTGACTTCAAATTTAATATCTGATGTCACTTAGTTGTGTTTTATTGTTAAATAACTTTCTAGCACTGTTCTTTTCTGCTGCTGAATAAGAGTCAAAGTTATTAAACAATAATGATTCAGATGATTAGTTCATATATCATGAAGAAAAGAATCCTCGGTCTTTACAGGAACAGGATCTCTGTGTTTATCAGGCTACAAACATTATTATATATTATTTATCATCTTAATTATTATCGAACATGATCAGCTGATTGTTTAGTGTCTGTAACTAATCACAGTCACTCTACGGCTGTGTCCTCCTGCTGCTGATGTTGCAGTCACCATGGCAACAGGCTGACGACCTCAGAACTCTCTGTTGTTTCTTCTTTATTGAGTTAACGTTGGATTTTTGGATTCATGTCAAGATGTTAGTGACAGAGACGTTCTGTTGTCCTGCGGAGGTCTCACTCTGAAGGGTTAGAAACAAAGAAAAATCACAACAATGTTGACAAAAGAAGCTGAATTAGCAAGTTAGCAGATTAACTTTAGTTTCAAGAAACATGTCAAAGTCTTAAACCTGGTGCTTGTAATATATTTAGATATATTATAATTAAGGCTTGGTGATTAATTGAATTTCAATTAGGATTATGGCTTCCAACGATTACGCAAGTATTCGACATAAAACAAATTTTTATCCCACGTTTAATTTTGCAGTGAGGCTCTTGTTTTGTCTTGCCTGATGCTGCCTTGGCCACACGGCCTGCATGAGCAGCACGCTGCAATGTCCTGGGGCTATATACCTCTATAACCCTCAACAAGAGGGTAGGAAAAACTTTATCTAAAAAAAACCCTATTAGGGGGAAAGAAGGTAGAAACTCATGTGAGGAGCCCTCTCCCAGGACGGACAGAAGTACAATAGGATATTATAACGCTGTGGCATGTTCGATGTGCTGCCAGCTAAATATCCGATAGCAGTCGCGCAGTGTTGGCTTTTCTACGATCTACTTGCACTAAAGAATGAAGTATGAGATGTCAACATCCGGCAGAGAGACCGAGAAAACAGAGGGAGCATCCAGCACAGTTTCTGACCTGGTGTCATGTGACGTGACCCTAAGTGACAAAGTCTCGATGGTCTCCACCAGAGACTCAGTGTGTGTTGTTTCCTGTGTTTTAGTGTGAGAGTCGTGGCGAGCTGCTGGCGTCTCTGTCCTACCAACCTGTGTCTCATCGTCTCAGCGTCGTCGTCCTTAAGGCGCGGCACCTCCCCAAGATGGACATCACCGGGCTGTCAGCGAGTGAGTACGACCAGCTGGAAACCTTAAGTGCAGTTTTTACTTTCCATTGATAAAGACGATTAGTGACTGTGCTGCACAGTTAATCCCAA